TCTATCTGATATTATAATGAAAACAGTCATATTATTTTGCAATAAATAATTATGTCAATGTCTTAGCTAAAAGAACCATGTGAATGATATTTTCTTTAGCTCATATAGAAAAGTGTCATATCATCAATGCTAAATAATTATATGATCTATGGTGAAACTTTATTTCTTCATATATGTTTGAAAAATATATGTATATATGTATATAAACACCCAAATATAAAACTAAAAAAAATAATCGAAGTATTTTGAGTGAGAAAAAAAGAATATATATATATATATATATATATTTCCATTATTACACAAGCTCTTTAACAATTTTAGAAATGAATAAAAACTATGAAATTTATTTTTTGGGAGTTCTTGTATAAAAAATAAAATTAGTGAAAAAGTTATGACAACTAGACATAAAAGAACAAATTAATCTTTTTTGTCTAGTTATGAAAACTAGACAAAAAAGATTAATTTGTTCTTTTATGTCATATTTTCAACTTAGAATATCACCATGAAAATAAATCATTTCAAATAGATCTTCATACTTTTTAATCTAGAAAGTGAAGCACGATAATCAATATTAGATAAATTAATATTAAAAAAATAAAATTTGATCAAATTTGAACTAAAAAATATTTAAGTAATAAAACAAGCACAACATACATAAATCTGTCATCTTAAATTAAAAAAATAAAAAGAAAATTCAATAATTGCGCCAAAAAACTTATTGTTGAATCTCATCAATTGAACAAATAATTTTTCTTTTGATTACTTTTTGTATCAAAACAAGCAAAGGGCGCAAAAAACAAAAATGTGATTTCAAACTAGTAATATTGGAATTAATTAAGAAATAATAACATATATACTAAAGAAGTGAAGCTCAAAATACACATGTTAATCTACTTGATTTTTCTTAATGGACACAAAAGAGACATAGTTAATGTGAATAGATAAGTTACTTTGGATATATCTAACTTAAAAAACAATATTTAATGAGTTCATTGAAGAATTTGAATGTTCAACTATATTGCTTTGCTGCATCTTTGTATTGGCAAAGACAGTTTTCAAAAGAAACAAGTTTTTGCATATCACAAAAAAATTAAAAAATCTCTCTAATGCTTCTTGTATACTTTCTAGATGCAATAGGGTTATTAGTATTATTTTTGAATAAACAGCAACATAATAATCTTCCTTGCAATTGCTGCAATGATATAAATCAACTTTGTGAAATCACAAAGACTTTACATCATATGCTTGAAAATCATATTGAAACATACATATATCATCCTTGAAACTGTTAATTCCGTGAGATTAAGTATAAAAATTAGATAAAAAAATTAATCAAGGTAATATATAGTCACGATAGACTGTCAAGATGTTTTACAATTTTCAAATTCCAGTGTTTGATGTAAGAGACATATACAAAAAATAATCATTTTCACACGAATATTTACGTATACAATTTGAAGGAATATGCAATCTTTCCAACATTCTACTTATATATTTGAAGAACATGTTCATTACTTCCGAATTTTGGAGAAGTGTGAATATTTACTTCCTCCTCCATGCCACTCCTGTCGCCCCATCATATATCTTATCGCAATTAAACAAGTCTCCTTCACTGAATCATCTGGTCAATAGTCGAGTTCTGCGGCCTAGACACTCAGCGATATTTTCTTTGACAAAGTTTTCGGATTATCCACAACCAGGAAGATATAAGGAGATTGGAGCTTCATTCTTGTATTAAAGGGTCACATTTGCATAGTCTTGCTCAACCTAAACGAGTTTTCCACCATTTAATTTGTTTATGCTGTCCTCACCCCTCGGGCCACAAAATCCACATTAGGGTCTTTCACTCAAGCTCCTAACAAGTCATCTGACTCGTTAGGAGCATGCGTAACTAGAAGCAACCGAGGCTGGTAGCTCCTAAGACTCGAATATATCTGACAAAGTGAAGTATTGAAAGGAGACCCAATTTATATATTTGTATCAGCTTTTTTCCTCAATCACATGCTTCATTTACTCTATCCACGTAACACTCATTTCCAGTCTCAAAATTGCATCATTGGATGTTTCTGTCCACAATGTCTGGTCTTCATCTTCCATCTGCATTAGTCTTTTGTGATGATGACTAGTTGAAATGTACAGGGATGATAGGAGTACAAGTCAAAATTGTCATGGATTTGAAACTCTATTACCATGAGGAAAGAATGATGATGAATGCAACGTTGGCTTTGTCATGTCTGGCGCCAATGGGACCAGACAAGGAAATCTTGAAACTCTCAACGAGGCCTGGACGGCTCGACATTTGAGGCTGGGGTTGTCTACCCGCCCATCGATCCCAAACGAGCATCATAACGGAACATCGACGTGACGTCATTGACTGAAACAATCTGTTGTTGTGTGGCGAACAAGTTGTTGTCCAATCAAACGAGTTTCTCTAGGAGGCGAAAGTGAGTCAAGTGGATTGAGGAAGGGCCTGAAGATTGATGCGTATCTATGAAATCAACTTTACAGAGCAGTACATTATAGTGGGCACTCAAGAATGACTTGATCCAAGGTTTCGGAGAGAAAAGCGGTCTGGTGGCCCATGTCTGACAAAACATCATTCTCGCAACATTCCGTCAAATCGTTAATTATGATAATAGGAGCTATATTGAATTGTCTAAGGAGTACTCAGAGGTAAGGGTGTGACGTGGTTTATTCTGATTGTGTATTCATAACTCAATAATATGATTGTTACGGGAGAAATCATGAAAGACTTTTGGAGTTCTTAAATACATATACCAGAGAGGATTTCGCCTTCGATACGATTCATCTTTGATTTTAGTTCGAAACCGGAATCCTAACTTTCTGGACCTTGCACATTAGCAGGGGCGACGAATATTAGTGCCGTCAATGACTAAACAAAACGTCAAAACACGTAGTGGCCTACGTGTTTTCTTTCCATGTACCAGAGATATGCATCCCACAAATTTTCTTTATATAGCAAAGGCTAACGGGCGAGAAACTATGAATGCCTCAACAGACTTGTAATGTTCTCTGCACAAGACTTTTGAATAGATTTAGATTGATAATTTAGTCTCCCAATTTTTCTTCTGTCACAAAGTGAACATGTTTATGACTGGGTTAAGTTTTGATACATCAATATACATATTCATATGATTTATTGTCAAAATAGATATTAGTTTATCATTGGAGAAATAAAGTTTAATTATCAATAATGTAAAGGTAATATTTTATAATATTAAAGGGAAAAATACGTTTGATTGATATTAAGGAACATTAGTATTCGATTGAAGACAACCACTATGCTAAATTCTTGTTGTTTTAATTTTTTATTTTCATTGAAGGGCGTGAAATGTAATAGGAAAAAAATATCTTTTCAAATCTAGGTATCTGAAAAAAATTATCATTTTTTCATCCAAATTTTAAATTATTGATATCAATTTTCCCTATGATTATTAGATAATGTGCAAAAATGTAGTGTGATAAGCCTAAATTTGTTGTAAATTTTTATTTTAAATTAAATTGAATCATTTTTTAAAATTATCCAGTAATATCACTTGATATGTAATTGATCGTAAAATTGATCATGAATTATTCATGATAAATTATTTATATGATTATTTATTTATATATATAATATATTTGAGATATTTTATGCTTTTCTTTTTTCAAAATTCAGAATTTACTTTCTCTTGCACCACTTGGTTCAGACATTGCTTTTTTATTTTAATGTTCTCTCAAAGTTTTTTTGAAAGAATTGAAGAACATTTGCATGCGGTGTCTTCCTACTAATCTTCACAAAAAGCCTAACAAGCAAAGACTTCTCCGAAACAAGATACGTCTTTCCGCACCTTCTTACATCGTCCAATAGCTGTCAATTGAAGTAACTTCGAATGTAAGCCACCCGTTTGCTCAATTCTAAAAACAAAGAACGCAATGTCCGATAACGGTTCCCTATCCCGAACACATCTTTTTGCAATTATCATAAAAAGGACGAGAATACAACTCTGTATCGCAATGACGTCACGTCAGGTGCTCGTCTATGACGCCACCGCTGATGTAAACATGTAAAGGCTTTGGACGGTTCGTTATTAAGCGCAAAACTCCCTCCCGCGAACATTTCCGCAAACAAGTAATTATCAACAAATTCTGAATATCCTATGAAAAGCTCTCCAAGATTCATGGGGCCTCTAGGAACTCCTTGACAATGGTGCCGGCTTAATATCCACAAACCTCCCTCATGGAAACTCTTGCAAAATACTATTTTATCAGAAGGCCGAAATTCTATGAAAAGCCCTCTCTCAGGTTCATGAGGTCGGGTAGAGTCCATTTAATGAACACGAGCCGATCCCGCCTCTAGGGTTGCCATCCTTATTAGGGGTCGGAGATTCGGAGCTCCTCGCGGGGATCGTCGCCCTGTAATAGGCGAGGTTTCGTCTTGTTGGCTGACCTCGTGTTCCTGTCCGGGCCTATCTTTGTAAAGGTATCAGGTACCGCCGTCCAATCGGGACAGTTTTAGCTTCTGCCGCAGAAGGACAAATGCCGGTGGGGCCGCAAACCCCGTGCGGGAGTCCGGCACAGTCACATAACTTCGAAAAGGTGCTCGCGAGGCGCTTGTATTGGCGGTAACGTTCGGCGCAAAATACGAGTGCAGTGCAGAGGACGGAGACGGGTCTCGATCGAGGTGCGTAGAGGGGGCGCCCGAAGGACCGTCCGAGGTGGAGGACCCGTGTCGAACACTGAACGCCAGGGGACGTTCGTTCCTTTGGTCGCTAGCGGGCAGGAGCAAGTTGCTGACGATGATACCTTCCGTGAGCGACGATGAGTCGTGTCAGATATGACGCTGTTGTAAACAGGTGGACCTGAATCGGAATTTGGTGTGCTAGCCTCTCGTCTGCCGCCAGCTGGACCGACTGGCGAACAAGTGGTGGGTATCCGTGGCCGTCTAGAAGATCGTGTCCTCGCATGCTCGTGCCGGGAGCTCGTTCCGCGCGTTCTCGGAACATGATTGGGGATCTCGACGAAGCAAGTCGTCGGGGCGCGAGAGAACAGGTTCATGTCCTTTCTGCCGCTGCTGCTGCTCCCGCTCCCGCTGCCATTGCTGCTGTTCAGCTGATGGCCGATGTGGTTCGCGATTAGAAATAGTAACGGCTGTTTTGTTTGAACGCGCGCCCGCTCGCAAGGGAGCACGGCTGCGGCGAGAAGTCGGACACCGATTGAACGAGCGCCACGGGCCTTTAACAACGTGAGCCTTGAGGGGGACACTAGAGCCGGGGTCGACCCCTTGCAATCGGCGTGGGTCTTCTTGCGTGGGTTGCCTGCGGTAGGGAAGCGGTTTATCGATTGATTGCAGGAAGTGATTGAAGCGCACTTTGGGATCCGGTGCGGAAAGTGGAGGAGTTGTTGTGCGAGGTGTGGAAAGCTTGTGTGTACAGCTGGGAATCAGAGTGTGGGACGGTCTGTGGAGGAGGAGGATATGGAGCGAGGAGGGAGAGACGGACAGGTACACAAAGTGCTGTTTTTTGAGAGAGGAGGGAGGGGGCTGTGTGCGAAGCGCTTTCATTGGCCGGTAGATGCCTAGGTGCACAAAAGCATGTCTTCTGCCTGTGTTTAGGATTAGGACCCTGAATGATGCTCGTACGATTCTTGCTTCGTCTGGCTGTGCTCGGTTTCAAGTCGGGAAGGATTGAGTCAACTGTGAATCTAGTTCTCCTGTTGTTCATCGAAATGATAAACGTGCAGAATATCGCTAGGGATGCGCTCACCATCGATGAAGCGTGCGCATACACTGACAGAATGGAAGTGCCCGGGGCAAGGGGGAGGATACCCGAAGAAATTCTGCAAGAAATCTTCTCTAGAATGCCATACCCGGAAATCGTGAAAATTCGTGAGGTTTCCAAGGTTTGGAACACGTATTTTCTGAATGAGTTGAAGCCGAACTTGCCAGCGATCGAGCCCGCAGTGAATGAGGCGACTCCGTTTTCAACGTGGGCTAAGTACTGCCCTTATCTTTACGACAACCACATGGAGTCGATGTGCTTTCCATGGGCTAGGTATCGCCAGTATATGTACGAGAATCAGCTGGAAATTGACTCAGACTCAGATGCTCGCTGATCTCAGATTACGATGTGGAAAGCAGTTTTGGGCCCTAAACCAACAGGACGCTCGATATTATAGATCGGCGTGGAGGTCGAGATTCAGTCACTGGGCTGCTTTGGCAGTGTAGAAATCGGCTGCTGCGGGAATGTTGCTTTGGCTATCCACCCGATGATCTACCGGGTTTTTTTGAGTTCCATCCCCATCAGCAGAAATGACAAGGTGTCTGGACCATTCCTTTACCCTCAATTCGCCAGCATTTTTTGATATCATCTCCATGGACAGGAACAGATTCGTAGTTGAACTTTCTCCTCACCCTGATTTCTCCTGGGGTTTTTTGAGTTCCACTCCTTTCACAGGATCGATATGGTACTTGAACTATTTTCTTAGCCCTGGATCCAACGGGGTTTTTAGGTACCACTAATTAAAACAAGCAGCTTGTATTTTCAAGTATCTTTGTACAGCTGAGCAGCCTTCATATACTCTGCTTAAAAAATATAATTGTCGATCTTATTTAGAATATGTTGGGTTCGATTCGGTCAGTTTCGTTCTCAGCTAGACAATTGAAAGTTGGACTTTGTTATGATCGCGATGCTTTCGCTAAATACGCTGAGGATAAGATTTCATTCGTTTTGCCGCATTAGGTGAATTGAAGCTCCTGGATGGTTTGTACTATCAGTGTCCAGTGAACTTGCTCTCCAATATCTGATTCCTTCCACAGTTGAGAAAATCGGGACAGATTGCATAGGCAGCCGAGCCATTCTTCTCTAGACACTATCAAGATTTGGGTCTCCCAGCTGTACCTAGAAGGAACATGTGGCACATGAGAGATGCGATTCATGAGAGTCGAAGGGTGAACGGCCCTATGATCTTCCTGTGGTTTCTGCGACGATTGGAATAAAGTCCTTATGTTTTTCAGAATAGATCCAATTTGGAAGCTGCACGTGAAATTTCCATTTGAGCGCAGACTCGCTGAAGACCAAAGTTAGAGCCGAAGAAGCGAAGTATTGGGCATCAGGAGAGGACAGAAGAGAAAATGTCATCTGGAACTTGTGCACACTGACAAACTCTATCCACTCCCGGAATCTCCTTCAACTGGCTTTTTACACCCTAGAGCAGCATCCTTGGAAAGTGTTACGTGTGTCCATGATTGCGCTGCTCCTAAACGAAAGGGAGAAAGTCAAACCTGACCGACATCCACACAAGCACTCGCGAAAACAACTGCACTAACTGTGTAAACAGATATGGATGCTACTGTAATCAGTCAAAGCTATGATAATTGTCAATCAATGCATCTGGACTAATTTAGTCCGGAGTTCAGCCAAACGCACTAAATGAGAACCTTTCATTCATTACTGCATGCAATAATTTATTAATGTTACACAGAAAAGTACATTACAATCAGTGTGGTATAAGTAAACATTAAATTGAAGGATGAGGACGTAGCATTTGTAAATTTACTATTCTAACAACACACATTTAGATCTTCTCTCATCGCACCTACATATCTCCAAGCATGGGCGTTCAAGTCAGTTAGAAAGATATGTTACCAGGTACAATAGTGTGAAACGAGTGTTTAAAGACTAATAGCTGTATCCATGTTATATTTCATGTTCTTCCAATGTCTCTGTCAATTAGGTTACAGGCATTGACATCTATATTTGTATACTTATTTGCTTCGTAATACCATATTCTCTAATCAAGCGCAACAATGCAATGAGAAAAGTATACACAGTCATGTATATACCCATAAAAATTTTCCTCTCATCTATCGTATTGTTACTCTTAATCATATATCTGAGTACATTATTTCATAATTCCATTATAATCTTATTCTTCTTAGACTCGAAGATCTTCCCTTATCAATATACAATGCAATCACGTTATATAAGTTTGCTCCAAGTTGTATTCAATTGAATTTCAACCTTTGACAGTAATTAAAATTTTTACTGTGTTATTAGGTCACAATTTTGTCACTTTGATTGTAAGATTTGTTTTAAATATTGAAGTCATGTGAAAGTTCATCACTTGAATTGTGTGTATAAATGCGATTGCACATTGAAGCACATTGCCCAAGCTAGAAAGCCAATTTGTGTAATTGCGGTTAAAGTTTTGATGATTGATCATGAAATAGATAAAATATATAATAAATAAATCATTAAATCAATAAATAAAATTCTACTGAATAAATTTGAAATATGTATATTGAAAATGAACATAACATTAGAAAAAATTGTGCAATTATCAATTTAAGTTTTACTCAGATTATCACAAATTGATCATTTGAGATTTATTCTTTGTTTTTTTAAACACATCATTTTGATAAATTAGTATAAAATTAATTTTAGCGTAATAAAATAATATCATCGATAAATTAGTGATAAGATAAGTTTTTTGCAACTAAACTTGACAATTTTAATTCCTATGATCATTCTATAATAATGAATTGACTTCAAATGCAACTTGATATGAAAGTCTAATGAGATTGCTATTCAAAAGCTAAAACTTTAGTCATAACAATAATGAACAAGCATATATATATTATTCAACTAGTATTAAAATTATAAAGTCTTATCAATATAAAATAAAAAATCATAATTTTTTTTGAAATTTTCAAATGCAAATAGTGTAGAAGAAAAATATTTGAAATGCTTTAGAGTAGCTTCAATATCAATGAAGTTTTTGCACCAAAAGCAAAATATCTACAATACGTTTGTTATGTGTTCTTGTGAATCTGTATGATCTTGTGTTTGATAACATGTATGTTGTCACAACCTTTTTCTTTGTACTATTCAATGCGATGATATTCATGCTGCAATTGCAAGCTTTTCTCATGAAATGACAACAAATCATGGTATGCAAATTGCTTAGATCGTTATACGATTAAAAAAAAAGTTCCAAAGGATGGATTAAATCCTTCAATGATTTTATGCAGTCACAAGAATTCTTACGAAGTTTATATGATTCTTGTATTTCATTGAAAAAAGTTTTTGATGCAGCATTTGAGCTTATCATTATTGTCTTGTATATTGATGACATGCTTATTGTAGCTTTGATGTTGATAAGTTGAAGTTTCACTTTTAGTTTAGTTCAATTTTCAACATGAAAGATCTAGGTACACTCAAGAAGTTTTTTAGCAAGTTCAACGTCATAGCTTTTTTAAACTAATGATAAAAAAGTCAATAATATTGTAGAGTATATGCTGCATGGGTTCTAATTAAAAGAGAAAAAAGACTTGTATGATTTTTAAATTTTGTAAAATGTATATATAATATTATGTTTAATGCATTCAAAAAGTTGTTTTCATTATGAATGAGTCCGTTTTTTATATTTATAAAAATACACATATTAAAAACGTCTAAAATAAAGACAACTTCAACATAAGATGACTTTTACCTGTAGACAAGCAAACTCTAGTGTGTAGTACAATTCACTTTGCCGCAGGTTCATATCTTGCAAGTTGAATTTTTCTTATACCGAGTGGAGCTTGTTCCTTTCATTTTCGAGAATTTCTACTGATACAAGTGCTTGCAGGAAGTATAAGGTTATTACAGATATGAGCTGACTTGTATGAGGATCTCAAATGACTTCTCATTTTCTTCAGCAGTTAGAACTCAATTTCTTGGTAGTATTGATGCTTTGTACTTCAAAAAGCACGATTTTGTTTAAGGTGTTTATGAGTTTGTAGTACTTGAGCTACTTAATTCAATGGAGATCATACACTTTTGTTAGTCTTCGATCTATAAAGAAGCCCATGAGGAGAACACATTATTATGTCTTCTTCACTATCACTACAATCCTCACAAAGTGAGGATTGTAGTGAAGTGAAGTGAGCTTCTCTTTTGATTAGGAGGAATTTTTTGAATGTAGAATCTTGAGTTTACCGTCCTCACTTGACAAAATCACTAGCATGTATCATACTAATCATTACAGATAGATCATTGATAATCACAATAAGCCTAGAATTAGACAAACTTGTAGACAAGCACAAATCTCTGACAAGATGCAATTTTTTACAATTCAGTAGTAGTTAAAAATCAACATTCTGACATGCAATATCTAAGCAGTACTTTGTGATTTGGGTTCAGTCCAACAAAAAGAACTAGTATGTACTAGAACGCAAATATATGTGATTCATAAGTCATCGTTGTTCTTTTGAAAGAGAATAGAATCATGAATCTTCTTGGATGATACATTGACGGGTACAACACGTAGTAAATCCAACTTTTCAATCAGTTTAAATTTATTAAGGAGATAAGAAAGGGGGTATTGAAACTCTTCATTCTACTTCAATGGCTACTTGTTCATTCTATCATGTCCATAAGATACGATGTGATCTTTGATATAAGCCACAAACTTGCTATACGTGACGTCATGATCATCAACTCATCCTGGTATGGCTCCAGCATCACTAATGGATCTTGATTCTTGCATAAAGATATGATTTGATCTTGGAACGGTTGGCATTTGGGTCTCAAACTGAGGAGTTATGTGCCACAACAACTTACATATCAACATTGCCAAAGCTTGTGCGATTACGGCGAATGCAGTGCACTTTTTTTCTCACCTTGTGCTATCGTTCAACGCCTACGGATGATTTAGTCCGATATACATCTTGATAAAAATAGAAGCAAAATGGGGATATTTTGACTAATATTGATAATAAACATAACGAGGTTGATATGTCTTATATGGTGTCATGCTGGTCATAAACTCCTTTACAATAACACATAACTCAATGAATTCAATCATCACGCTTTTCAATAGCTGTTCATCCTCTTCTGAAGAGTTGTGATGGCAAGTCAAAAGCTTGATTGCAACATGATATTGATCAATAATTGAACCTTTGCCAAACTCGAGCACTTGATCACCATAGACATACGCAACATTCATTCAAAACTCATGATAGGAAGGGTCGCAAAAAAAGTAAGCGCGTTAAAAAGGTGAATATATTCCATCCCATGAATAACGAAGTTGGACTTGCATGTATTGAAGCTCAGCGCTAGACAGTATAGTAGGAAGATGAAGAAAAATGAATACAAAAGTCGCATAGATAGTAATCATTTTTGATGAATCACTTCCGATAATGCCAATGCACTTGTAGATGATATTAAACATGTTAATTGCATCCATTAGCAAACAATCACTCTCGATAATGCCAATGCACTTGTAGATGAGATCAAACATGTTGATTGGAGATTTCACACCACGTTAGAAGCTGCTCTTGTTGATAATGTTCACGAGATTGTCAAAAAGTTCATAGCGAGCATTAATATTCCGCTATTTGCGCTCATGTTCAATCAAATTTGGCATAGAATTGATGAGACGTTTGACTGTCTTGAGATGAATGAACATATAATTCACATTCCATCAACGTTAAGTCAAATACAGAACTATTGAGTAGTACTTACCCAACATCTACTCGATAACTTAAGACAATAATTCATTGAATAATTCTTGGCTCTTGATGCACTTCAAGATGATGATAGCCATCTTGAGTAATGATTTGAAGTTCGGCGACCTGATCAAATCTTTGCAAAAGTTATTCAATGGATGAGCTGTACATTCATATGCATTATCTACTTCATGATTTTCTATGAGCTAATTACAAGGAGCTTGCATTGCATTACATTACAACTATCGGAAATAAAAGCATCAGTCTCTTGAGGTTTGCTCTTATATATTCCATAAAGCATGAATGGGGATAATGAACAATGTTATTGGACTGTAACCATCTTTAGTTAGTTAGAACTAAAGTAGAGGTTACTCTAAATATCGATATAGATACTTTAGTGTGCACTAGTTATAGCTGCCACGTTAGCGATCCGCGCACTTGGTAGGTACAGAGCGAATGTGTTAGTTGACAGTGCCACGTCAGCAATCCGTGTGCTTGTAAGTAAGGATTGAGTGTGTTAGTTGGGAGCGC